CCAAAAGGGAATTGGGGCCACTTGCTCGCTGATATGCCTTCATAAAAAGAACCATCCTTGCCTTTGATTGAGCTGGGTCCAGCTCTGTGTACAGGTAATCCTTGATTTACAACTAATCACTTAGCAACCATTCAAAGTTATGTCGAGTGGTTCAAATATATTTGAACATATTTATGATGGTTGCAGTGTCCCAGGATCGTGTGATCACCTTTTGCAACCTGACAAGCAAAGTCAGTGGCTAAGCCTGATTTGCTTAACAACCGTGTTACTAACTTAACAATGATTCACTTAACAACTGTGGCAAGAAAGGTTGTAAAATGGGACAAAACTCACTTAAGAAATGTCTCACTTAGCAACAGAAACTTAGGGCTCAATTGTGGTTATAACTCGAGGACTATCTGTAATTAGCACACTTCATGGCTCTGACATGGACATGACCTCATGTTAGTCACAGAATTTCTCTATTGTCAATATTGTGTAAAAACTGGATTACTTTTTCAGGAGTTTCTGCAGGGAGGGGTGAATACCCAGTCAAGAGGACGATGGCATAAACATGCAGATCAAAAGCATAATGTGATGTGGATAAAGAGGGGGCGGAGCTTAGATTGTGGCTGCCATCGTGACTTTTTTTGATGCCTTCCCTGCTGGCATAAACCAGTGGTGGGATTCAGCCAGTTCACACCACTTCGGCAGAACCAGGAGCTAATTTTTTGTTGCCCAGGCCCAGAATGGACTTCCAGAAGTGGCATCCACACAGAGAACCGGTTGTTCACATCCATAAACCGTTTCTCAAATCTCTACTTCCTCCTGGATTAAACTTCTCACAGCTTCCTTGCTATCAAGTCTTGCCATTTTGCAAATGCTTTGTCTTCAGCCAGCCAGCTCCTAACTTACAATGTTGTGTAAAGGAGGTATCTTTTCTCACCAATCCAGGCCCATAAAAATAATTTTTACATTGGGCAAAAATCTGCTCAGTTGGGCAAGGAATCCTATCTTGGGAGGGTGCCACAATTTTAAATCGTAATTAATCTGAGTGCAATCTTCTTTCTGTCTCTCTGCTCTTCACCCACAGAGGACTTGTCATCCTGAGGCTACTTGGAATTTATCCAGTTCAAAAAGATGCAGTCATTGCTCAAGCTTTCCTTTGGGGACACAATTAAATCCTCTTCACTAGGTCATGCAAAAAAAAAAAAAAAACTTGGAAAAGACGAGGCTCGAGGCATGAATCATAAAAAATATCTGTGGGGGGGAGGGCTCTGAACCCTTTGCTTCAGTTGCCAAATTCTAGAAATTGCATCTCTCTTGAATAAAGTTTGTAAATTGGTTCACATGTAAAGGGAGAGATTAGCAACTGCAGCAGCTTCATTCTCATTGCCTGGATTTCTTAACCTTTCTACCAGTACTACCCTTATACTATGTGTGTGTGTGTGTGTGTGTACACAGTATATAAGCTGATTCGAACCTGGGCTGTCTGCATGTTAGGCAGATGTATTAACCTCATCTGTCTAACATGCAGACAGCCCAGGTTCGAATCTCAGAAGGGTATGTCTGGTTGAAAAGAACTAAAAAGTTCGAAATGGCTATTCCAGTTCTCCCTTAATTCTTTGTTAGCAATCCAAATTTTGAAAAACACATATAATGTCGCAGTTGCGACTGCTAAGCCTGTGGATATATATATATTCTGAGGTTTTCGCGGGTGTTTGTATGTAGGTCTTTGGTTATTCGGGTTCTCTTCCGCTAAACAATTTTACGTGGGAGAAAACCCGAATAACCAAAGACCTACATATATATATATATATATATATATATATACTGTATATGTTTTCGTACATACATACACACACACACACACACACACAATACGGAGTTCCGGCACCTTTTTTGGATGGAACCTTGTAGGGTAGGCAAAGCGGGTTGTATGACGTGTGTGAGTTCCAGCACCTTTTTTTTTTTTTTTTTAGAAAAAAAGCACTGCATAATATACTGTATATACACACAATATATATACTGTATACACAATATATAAACACACACACACACACACACACATTTATCTTTCATTTATATGGTGTCTTTAGAACAATATTTTTACTTTATGGGGGGGGGAATCAGGAGCAAGTTGCTAGTTCTTAGGACTGCAAAATCAGCCGGTGCATTGCAGATATGCAGGAAGAAACTGGTGGCCATGTCAGTCTGCAAAGCCAAAGAATGCTTAAAAGGAAAAAGTGTTTTCTTTTCAAATATTACATGGTTTTTGTGGCAGAAACATCTGGCAGGCAGCAATTTTTTATATATAATATATAATGATGTAAAGGAGAACTCTGTAAGAAATTGTTGGCAACTTGGAAAAAGCATGTGCCAGCAGAAATACAGTAGGATTATAGTTGTCATTTTAATTGCAACCGCTTTACATAATTTACATCTGAAAGCACCTCATTCATAAGCCACAAAATATACCAGCTCTTCAATCCACGGACTACTACATTCATTCCTTATTGAAACTGTGCAAAACTAAAATGATATTATTGGGTTATTATCTGTGTGCATATGCATAGGAATTCTCATATAAAAATGTTTTGTTGTTTTGTTCTCTTTTCTTCCACTTTTTTTTGTTAAGCAATGCCTCTCCAAATTGAAAAAAATAACTGTAATTGTAATTAATTCAAGAGAAAATTGCCAAGAGGTTACTTCAGGAATCTTTCGTTAAAATAATTAAATCATATAAGTACAATGGGCAAGCTTTCTCCAACATGCTGCCATCTAAATATTTTTGTCTACAACTCATAAGAGTTCAATGATACTGAAAAAAGTAACTTCTAACTGATCCTCCCAGTTACAATTATCGCACCATCCCCACGTCAAAGGATCAAAATTCGGGCACATGGCAGCCAGTAAACATTTGCTATGGTTGCGGCTTCCCAAGATCATGTGATCACCATTTGTGATCTTCCTGACAAGCAAAGTCAATGGGGGAAGCCAGATGCAGATCCAGACTGGTGACTGTGAGATTCACCTAATAGCTGAAGTGATTTGGTTAACAACCATGGCAAAAAAGGTCATAAAATCAAGCAAAACTCATTTAACGACCACCTTGCTTAGCAATGGAAACTTTGGTCCCAGTTGTAGTTGCAAGTCAAGGACTATCTATAAATCTATTTCACCCTGCAGTCAGCTATCAATACATCTGAATTGATTGAATTTTTCACTATTTTAATCCTGATTCAAAAGTATTTAATTTATCTTATAAACTCTACAATTTCTTGGCAACTAAACCAATTTGACCAAAGCTGTACTTTGCTTTATATGAAAAAGCATTCAGTATAAAATTAAACAGAGTGCATTTTCTCTGTTTTCAGGGTTTAAACTTTAGACAAATGTTTCATGAAATCAAGAAATGTACATTTCCAGTTTTACAGTCATTGCAGTGAAAGAGTATTCTTGATTAGCTTAAATAATGACAAGTTGACCACAGTTCTTTGCTTCAGCTTTTGCTGCATCTAAATTGTAATCTAGATTTTGATACAAAAATATTTCCTGTCATGAAACATTCATTAAAACACAGGAAAAGTGCATGTGATTACATACAACTAAAATGGTCTTATAAATATAAAACCTAATCAAGGTATTGTCTAATATGTAACCTTCCTTCCTTCTATCTTAAAAGGGCTTCAGTTAAAATGTGTTTGTTATCTTGGTGCTACTGTTTTAATTTATCAGCATATGTTTGATATTTAATGCTTCTATCATGAATATTTGGCAAAGATTTATACCAACATTTATTTGGCGTGAAAGGCATACAAAAATAGTATGTTATGGTGTTAGTAATTAAATTATTAATAGTAACCAGGGCAGCAATTCTGTGGTCCCTGAGAAAGAGATTTTATTTCAGAGGTGAAATTTGATGTCAGAAACAGTCTCCAGTACAGTCCAACAGAAAGGTCTTGAGTGTGGCTGTTTCTGAAACTGGACAGGTAAAAGGAATTATACTGGAAGAGGATTATAAAAGGAGATTAATGCTAGTCTACAGGGGATGGCAAAGCGTTTCCCCAGACAAAGTAAAGGGGCTCGTCCTGAGGTGATTTTCTTAAGTTCATGGCAATTCTCAAGTTTCATTGCTAGAACTGTTCTGTATAGCCAGTATTTGGAAAGAAAAAAAACAAAACAAAAGCATAATGTTCTTTTTTGGATCAGGATTTGATTTATTTATTGTTTTAGTACTGAAAGTGGAAGAAATATTGAGAGATTTATGAGAAATGAATTTCGTTTGAGATAATTTGAAGAAATTAGGAGGAGGAATATAGTAAGGTAGTCCCTGACTTATGACTATAGTTGGAACTGTCCAACTGTCCATTGCCATACAGTTGTTAAATGAGTTGTATCTGATTTTAAGACCTTTTTTACTGTGGTTATTAAGCAAATCTGGCTCTCCCTCCCCCCTTGACTTTTCTTGTCAGAAGCCCCTTTGGTCAGCACAAAAGGTGATCATGTGACTCGGAACGCTGCAACTGTCATAAAGATAAGCCAATTGTGAAGCACCTAAATTCTGATCACGTGATCACGGAGACGGGACCATAGGGATGTGTAATAGTTGGAAGTGCGAGGACCAGTTGTAAGTCACTTTTTTCAGCACCACCATAACTTTGAACAGTTATTAAACAAATGGCCCTAAGTTGACAATGACCTGTGACATAAGTCTCTGGAGATTCTCAGTCATCCAGGTCATGGTTGTCCCAAAGGTGCTTTTTTCAAGAGGCAACTGGAGTTTCTTTGTTTTTCCTTGAAGATGTTTCGCTTCTCATCCAAGATGACCAGCTGTCTGCAAGGAGTATAAATCCTTCCATTCCCCACCATCCAGCCAGAGCTGAAGAAGCTTCTTGGATGAGAAGTGAAACGTCTTCACAGAGAAACAAGGAAGTCCACTGCCTCTTGAAAAAAGCACCTTTGGGACACCTGTGGTATAACTTAATGACAAACAAGATAAATGCTTTCTTTCTTTTCAGAAGCTAACTGTTCTTATTTCAAATTCTTCACCACTGGGGAGAATGCCAACATCTTCCTAAGGACTACAAAAAAGGGTAAGTCCATTGCAGGCGTTCAGGTTGAAGTGCTGTGTGGCAGGAAGGAAAGGAGCTACAGTCCATGTGTCAGTCAAGAGCTTCTGCATCCCATACTTTTGAAATTAGAAAGGTTTTTGGTGCATATGCTGATTCAAGGAGGTTTGGAGAGGGGCTGTCTGAATTGATGAGAGGGCTTCACCACAGTCGTCCTCAAACCCACCATTAAGGACAAAGCATCACGTTTCCGTTGTTCTAAGGCAGTGGTGGTGAACCTATGGCACGCATGCCAGAGGTGGCACTCAAGCCCTCTCTGTGGGCACCCGCGCCAGGCCCCGGAGATGGCAACTGTCCTCTTCAACCAGCCGCCCACTAACTTGCCGAGGTCCCATTTGGCTGGATGCATCCCAGCACCCATGCGCTTTCTGGCCTCTGTGTGTGGGGGGCGATGGTGCCAGGCCCCTGCCTCGCCCTGTGACAATGGCACCCCCACCCTGCCTCACCTTGCCTTGCCTCACCCCGCAGGACCAGCCTCCTGCCCACTGCACCACCCGCCAGAGACCCTCTGGATCTCCCCCAACCCTGCCCGGCCCCCACAGGTGTCCCTCCCCAGGAGCAACATTGAGTTGGCCACACCCACCCATCTGCCATGACCACTGAAGCCATGCCCACCCAGCAGGCCACACCCACCCAACAGCCACGCCCACCCGGCACCCAGCGATACATAAGTGGGGTTTGGGTTGAAGTTTGGGCACTCGGTCTCTAAAAGGTTCACCATCACTGTTCTAAGGGATCTCTCTTGTTGAATCGGCCATGTATTATCCACCAATCATGCTGAATCATGCTGAATAGAGGGGGGAAAGAATAAGCCATCTCACCACCTTGCAAAGCAGTGTTTCTCAATCTCAATGAATTTAAGACGTATGGACTTCAGTGTCCAGAATTCCCCAGCCAGCATGGGCTGATGGGGGAATTTTGAGCGTTGAAGTCCATACATCTTAAAGTTGCTAAGTGAGAAACCCTGCTTTAAATGATTGACACAACCCTAACCTGCTGCTCTAACATGGGTGGAACATGCAGTGTTCTCTCTATTCAAATCAGAATTTGAGTATGAGCTACTGGTAACATTTACATTTTCCGCGCCTGTGGTTGGAGACTGTATGAACGTTGCCCAGTTCAACTGGATCCAAGGCTGGCCTGTTGAAGAACAGGCACACCACTATCTTTTTTCAAAACCAGTGGAACTATCCTGCTTCTCAAAGACACATTTATCCCTGCACATGCTTCATCCCCAGAGGTCTCAAGCAACCAGGAAGAGCAGGGATTTAACACACAGTTGACCACACTCACAACTACAAGGACCATGTCCATTTTCTCAGGACTAATGGACTCAAACTCATCTCTGAAAATGTCACAAGACTGCTTCAGCCACCTGTTTAGGACTCCAGGTCTAGCTGAAGGCCAACCTCATAGTGAATCTCAGTAATGTTATCTACTGGGTGTTTTGAATAGCTCTCACAGGGATTTTGCAGATGCTTCAGATGCTCTAGAAGGGTCTAGATTTCCCTGCACAGGGCTACTGGCCAATATGCAGTATCACTATGTGGTAAGCTCTAACAAAAAGCTTTTATTTTATTTATGTCTGGTTAGATTCATTCCTAATTTTCTCCCAGTGGGTATCTAGTGGGTATTCTATCCTGCTCTATGGAGTAGAGAGTTGTTTCTCTGACAGAAGGCCACTGAAGAGACTGGAAGCATTTGAAATGTGGATTTACAGGCAGCTGTTACATATAAGCTGGGTTGACAAGATCAGAAATGAGGAGGTGATAAGCCGCCTGGGAAAGCCAAGGGAAATCCTCAAAACAATTAAAAAACGAAAATTAGAATATTTCGGACATGTGATGCGACACCCAGAAAAATATGGCATACTCCATTTAATCCTCCAGGGAAAGACTGAAGGCAAACGAGGTCCAGGCAGAAGAAGAACATTGTGGCTTCAAAATCTAAGGGACTGGTTTGGACAAAACTCAGCAGCACTTTTTTGTGCGGCTGCTGATAAAAACAGGATCACCAACATGATCGCCAACGTCCGATAACTGATATGGCACAAGAAGACGAAGAAGGGTATCTAGATGTCTCTTCTGTTGCTTTATCCTCTTTATCCACAAGCCACAACAAATGTCTATGGAGAGTCTCAATTATCCAGGTCATCGTTGACCCAAAGGTACTTTTTCCAAAAGGTAACTGGATATTCTTGGAATCCAGTTGCCTTTTGGGAAAAAAAAAAGTCCAGTTACCTTTTGGGAAAAAACACTTCTGGGAAATGCCACAACAAGCAGGCTAAAATCTGCATGCTAAGATTTTGCAATCCAACCTAAACTTTTGTTTGTTTGCTTGCTTATATTTTGTATTTCTCAACCGCCCATCTCCCTCAGAGATTTTACCGCCACCACCTTATTCCAGATGGCAACTGAGGTCTCAATGAAAATGTTTATCAAAATCTCAGAAAAAAATATAATTCTGTTTCTGCATTAAATTCTTAAACTATGCAACAATCACTTTGGAGAATAAACATTTTTCTGCTCTTCAGGTTCTGCAGCTCCTGCTTCTAACTTGGCTTCATCTAGATTTCTTGCTGCAGTCATCCTAAATGCCCTCCAGATGGGTTGGGCTAAATCCCATAATTCTCAGACTGTCACCCATGTTGGCTGGGGACTATGGAAATTGAAGTCCAAATCATTAGGAAAGCATAAAAAAGCAAAGGCCCAGATAATTACAGCTAATCAGAAAATGAATGGGCATTTAATGTTTGTAAAAAATAAATTTGTAGGTGCTTCTGTGCACAAATGTACTAACACCTTGTTATCTTAAAGGGTGAAAGGGGATTAAATTGTTAAATTGTGAATTTTAAACTGAGGATCTTTAATGTTGTACACTGCCCAGAGTCACTGTGTGTGAGTTAGTTGGCTATATGCATTATAAATAAATAAATAGCTCTCCTAACTATAGAAAACATTGAGTTGATACTGGCACAGTCACAATGTAATAATCCAGTTACAAATGATGTTAAAATCAATTTCTACCACTTTTCATGGTTTAAATTTAAGAACTCCGCCACCTAATAAATCTGGGCATTCTTTTAGTCATTACATTTTTGAAAAATCTCAAACAGTTAATCACTGCAGCTTTCAATCAAAAAAGATCTTTAAATGTTCATGAAAAATGCTCCCAGGGTATTATTCAAAAGATCTCAAATTACACTGAAGGTTGCTGGGACTGAGAAGAAATAGCTGTTCATCTTTTGGGAAATATGATTATATCCCCAAAAGACAGACAGATAGATGGATGAAAGACAGATGAGATAGATTAGATTAGATACATGAGAGATGAGAGATAGAAAGAGGGAGGGAGGGAGGGAGGCAGGCAGTAGGGGACATGATGGCTCAGTGATTAAAGACACTGAGCTTGCCAGCTGGGAAGCTGACAGCCTGAGTTTGAGACACAAGCACTGTGTGACAAGGTGAGTGCTTGTTACTTTCCCCAGCTCCTGCCAACTTAGCAGTTTGAAAGCATGCAAATGCAAGTAGATAAATAGGTACCACTTCAGTGGGAAGGTAACAATGTTCCATTCACCTCGGCATATAGGTATGCTGGCCACATGACCATGAAAGTATCTTTGGACAATGTTGGCTCCCTCAGCTAAAAAACAAAGATGAGCACCACCCCCAAGAGTCGGACATGACTAGATAGGGGAAACCTTTATCGTTACCTAGATCAAACTCGCAACGTCATGTGACGTGTCACGACAGATCGTGACTTTTTTGCCATTGCCGGCAATGGGATGGGCGCGGTTTTGCTATGATGCATCCAGCCTGCGGGCCCGCAGTTTGACACCCCTGACCTAGATAGATGATAGATGGAGAGAGAGAGAGAGAGAGAGAGAGAGAGAGAGAGAGAGAGAGAGAGAGAGAGAGAGAGAGATGATAGGTAGGTAGGTAGGTAGGTAGGTAGGTAGGTAGGTAGGTAGGTAGGTAGGTAGGTAGGTAGGTAGATAGATAGATAGATAGATAGATAGATAGATAGATAGATAGATAGATAGATAGATAGATAGATAGATAGAGTGTATGTGCTGATATGTGACTTGTGTCTCCACTGCTTTCTCTCTTCCATTCTCATTGCTATTAAGTCCACAACTTTCTGAGCTATACCTAATGATTGCTCACATTATAGCCCTGAGCATCACATTTATGTATGATACTCATGCCAGTGTGTATTGCTCTAAAATGGCCTTCACGAACTTGATACCTTCAGTTATGTTTGGCTGTAGTCATGCTAACAAGAATTATGATTTGGTGGTCAACACATGAAGAGGGAAGCAGCTACTTTAGATCAATGTTTCTCACCCTTGGTAACTGTAAGATGTGTGGACTTCAACTCCCAGAATTCCCCAGGCTGAAATCCATGCATCTTAAAGTTGCCAAGGTTGAGAAACACTGCTCTAGATATTGATGATTTCTTGCTGACCACATCAGAGACAGCGCACAAGTTATCCTGCCAGTATGCCCCTGTTTTCCTCTGTGAAATGTTGGGTGGAATGAAATGACTTTTTCTCCCCTGCTTGGCAACACTGCATAGAACTCAACATCACGGCAGCCGTTGTGTCCCTCCTCAGCATCACCTTGATGGCCATGGGATCCCTCTGCATCACAATGGCCCTGAGCAAAGGAGTTGAGTTTCTCCTGAAGCCAGCATCGTGCTTCTTTATAATATCAGGTATGAATTCTGCAGACCTTTCTTTTCTTTCCTGAAGTAGATGGGGTGGAAGGAATGGGGGAAATATTATTTTAACCATGACATTTCTTAAAACAGAGTTGTCCAATCTTGACAATTTTATTGTCAAGCATGACTGGCTGAGGAATTCTGGGAGTTGAAGTCCATAGGTCTTAAAGTTGCCAAGGTTGGACATCCCTGCCTTAAAACATAAGGAGGCCACAGATCCACCTAAGGATAGATAAAAGGAGCCACACAAGGTTCTTCTAAGTGGCCTAGCTTAATCCAGTGTTCCGCTCTATATTGCTTGTTTGTGGTCTTGGTTCACAGCTGGGAATATCTAAAGGGGAACATCCTACACCAGTGATTTATAAACTTGTCAGCTTTAGGGCATGTGGACTTCAACTTCCAGAATGTCCTAGGGAAGTCTTGGAGATGAAGTCCACACATCTTAAAGATGCCACATTTGAAAAACACTGCCCTACACTGTCTTCTTGTCAGGCACAAAGAATCAGGAGCATTCGCAATGTTGCCGCATAGAAGATTTATTCAAAACTACAGACAAGAATCTAGTCAACTAACGGTCAGCACAAAATTGGCACTTAATAAGGGTCAATGAAATTCATGCGCTGGACTTGGATCTCTTGTAGTGATGCAAGAATTATAAATTGATGACATGTTTAACTCCACCCACTAGTTCTGCCTGCTCTTCTACATCCCTCTTTTTTTTATTTCCCTTCCAGGACTGATGGTGTTGGTGACTTTGGAGATTTTCCGACAATCGGTCCGGTGCCTGATCACCTCCAATGAGACCATCCCACTGGAATATGAGTATTCCTGGTCTGTGGCTTGTGCAGTGTCTGCAGGAGCAATTCTGATCTTTGGGGGAACCTGCTTCATCCTATTGTCTATCCCAGGTTTGCCCAAAAAGCCTTGGGAATATTGCATCAAAAAGAGAAGCACCAGTGAACATACTTCCTAAAAACCTTCAGAGGAAAAATCAAAGTCTCTCTTTCTCTCACTCTACAACTTTTACAGACAGAGGCGGAAAGAATCAATCTTCCCCATTCTACCTCCCACCCTATTTTTCCAGCTTCTGGACACCCATTTCTTCCCTGTTTTGTGACTTGTAAATAGAACCAGTTGTGCTTGTCTTGTTTGAATTTGGGGTGGCGGAGCAAGGGGAGACTGCAAGAAAAGAGCTCTGTTGATGAATGAGGGAAAGCTGTGTTAGTGAACTGAGACACTAACAAATTGAGGGAAGATAAAGGGCTGTATTTAAAACCCAGTTTTTACAAATAGTTATTTTTAACTCAACAAAGAGGACTTGTGTCTTGAAAGTCTTTTAAATTCACACCGAGGTCAGACAACAAAATCTCATTTCAATTTCCTACTTTAGCCAAGTTCTACCCAGAACAAAAATTACAATTCTTCTGTTAGAAAATTAAAAGAGCATAAAAAGAACAAAAGAATATTGCAATTTGGTTTACCTGTTCGATTTTTTTTTCTTTTTTGCATACCCTTCAGATTCACCAAAAAAATATGATCTCTAGCTAGGTCCTTTAAGAATGACAGAGAGACATCAAAGTTATCAACCTAACTTCCCAAATCTGAATTCTTAACCTATCATTTGGGGAAACCTGAAAAGGATCCAGAGGACTTGAATACCTTTTGTTCAGACTAGCCAAGATTTACAACAGTGAGAGCAATGGAGAAGCAGAATTTTCAAAACTCAATTTTTTTCTCCCTCCCCGCATTGTCATCATTAAAAAAAATAGCTCTTGCAACTTTTCCAATGAATAATACTTCTAAGAGCTCAGTCCAGCTGATAAGCTGATATGAATTGCAGCTTTCAGCTCAGAGAAGGCCCACGCAGACAATGTAGGCAGGGAAACCACTTAGAGGAGGAACTTTCTTGATTTAAGAGTAATTTCTGAAGGGAAGTGGAGAGAAAGTTGCAAGCAACTACAGGTCTACACTATGAGTTTATATGTTGATGCCTAACCAGCATCCTTTGTCTGCTTTAGAAATCATAGCCACTCTCAAGTGACGATGGTTATTTTCCTGGTTTGAAACAATTGTTTTCCACTGAGTGTTTCTTGAATTCCAGAACGTGAGACTGGATATATGATGATGGTTTAAAGCAATTGAAGGCAGTCATGTGAACATAGGGAATTCTGGGAGCTGAAATCCACATAGCTGCTGAAATTGAGAAACACTGTTTCTCATGACTACGGTATAGAAATGAGCCACTAAGAAACCTATATTGGACTTTGCTATTTTGTGCTGATTTTCCTCAAAATCCACGTAATGCCTTGGATTGACAGGGATTAATGCATCAATGAGTCTTGGAAAGGACTGCAAGCCAATTTGCTTTGATGAAGGAAGGCAGAGTTTTTCAACCATACTGGCTAGGGGATTCTGGGAGTTGAAGTCCAGCCATCTTAAAGTTGCCAAGATTGATAAACATTGATATAAGAAATAAAAAAGCATGGATGATATTTTTCTTCACTGCCTCAATTTGTTCCGTAGATAACCTCTGTTTCTATGGAGACAGGAAGGACCATTCCCATTTCTTTTACCAGAGTCAAAGTTGGCTGTTTTGCTTTGCTGTATTTGGGGAATGAGGGAGAAGGGTGGCAAAATTATTTTGGGGAGGAAAATCGTGCCTTTTGTTTTTCTGTTCTGTTTTTTGCAAAACTAAATAAATGTTTGAAGTACACCATCATAGTGGAATGGTATTTGTGGTAAATCACATCTTGTTACAGATGGTACAGAGTCAATAAAATGGTTCTACTACTACTTATCAACCTACTACTTGATAAGATAGAAAAATGCGGGTTAGACAGCATCACCACAAGATAGATCCGTAGCTGGCTGACCGGCCGCACTCAGCGTGTGGTCCTCAATGGAACCACATCTACATGGAGGGAAGTGTGTAGTGGGGTGTCCCAGGGTTCTGTTCTGGGCCCAGTGCTCTTCAACATCTTCATCAACGATCTGGACGAGGGGATAGATGGGGAACTCATCAAATTTGCAGACGACACTAAGCTGGCAGGAATAGCCAACACTCCAGAAGACAGGCTTAGGATACAGGAGGATCTGGATAGACTTGAACACTGGGCGCTATCTAACAAAATGAAATTCAATGGTGAAAAAAGTAAGGTTCTACATTTAGGCAAGAAAAACCAAATGTACAGGTATAGTATAGGGGGTACCTTCCTCAATAGTAGTAACTGTGAGAGGGATCTTGGAGTCCTAGTGGACAATCATTTAAATATGAGCCAGCAGTGTGCTGCAGCTGCCAAAAAAGTCAACACAGTGCTAGGCTGCATTAACAGAGGGATATAATCAAGATCATGTGAAGTATTAACACCACTTTACAATGCCTTGGTAAGGCCACACTTGGAATACTGCATCCAGTTTTGTAAAAAAAACGATGCAAAAACAGATGCTGAGACTCTAGAAAGAGTACAGAGAAGAGCAACAAAGATGATTAGGGAACTGGAGGCTAAAGCATATAAGGAACGGTTGCTGGAATTGGGTATGTCTAATTTAACGAAGAGAAGGATGAGGGGGGACATGATAGCAGTATTCCAATATCTCAGGGGCTGCCACAAAGAAGAGGGAGTCAAGCTATTTTCCAAAGCGCCTGAAGGCAGAACAAGAAGCAACGGGTGGAAACTAACCAAAGAGAGAAGCAACCTAGAACTAAGGATAAACTTCCTGACAGTTAGAACAATTAACCAATGGAACAACCTGCCTCCAGAAGCGGTGAATGCTCCAACACTGGAAGTTTTTAAGAAGAGACTGGACAGCCACTTGTCTGAAATGGTGTAGGGTTTCCTGCCTGAGCAGGGGGTTGGACTAGATGACCTCCAAGGTCCCTTCCAACTTTACTACTACTACTACTACTACTACTACTACTACTACTACTACTATTATTATTATTATTATTATTATTATTATTATTATTATTATTATTTCCAGGGGGTGGGCCATTTCATTGAAATCATCTCTTTTTTTCTTGAATTGCTGGACCAGATTTCATGAATCTTTAGCCAAAACTGTCTGAGAAAGTTTCCCCAGAAATTTTTTTTGCCGTATATTGAAGTTCTTTGATGGGCAATATTAATTGTGAATTAATTTGGGATTGTATTCTGGGGCACAACTGAAAGCCACTGAATATTCAGCTGCAGCTGTAAGATATAGGTCAAAAAGAACAGCAACGGTGCAATTTAAGCTCTGCCTTTTTTTAAAAAAAATGAGAAGAATTCAGTCACAGCATTGTGACCAACAGCTTGACTTTGTTATTATTATGTATCATCACACAGTCAGCCAGATGTTTAGACTGGATTTGGCATCTTTATCCAGTCCTTCCCAACAACAGGGGATAGGCAAATATTCTTGTTTGATGATATTTAAAAGTATCATCACAGAATGTAAATTGTTCCATGCAAAGCTGCCTTTTGCAATTGACTGGTGGTGATTTTGTCAATGATGATGGTGTTCAGATGATATATTGTTATACTACACCCAATATAATATGCTGGCATCCCTGCGTAATTTCCATAGCATATTAATTTAGATGATGCAGTCTTTTAAAAGTTGTTTTTGAATCGATTTGTTGTATCCCCAAGTCATTATAAGACAATTTAAACTAATCTATGTGAAATGTAACACAAACAAGCCCTTTCAAAAGAATTTTTCTTCATTATTTAGGGCTGAGGCCTAGCAAAGGCCCAGAGGTTGGGAAGTGAAAAGAAAAATTCTGCAGTCTTGTGAGAAGAGATTACAAGGGGGGGGGATGCCAAGGCACAAAATTACATGTGGGTTTTCTCCAGCTGGCCTTACACAGAGAGCAAGGAGCTCGGCTTCTATTCCTCTTTGTCAGCATCTCAACCCTGGGACAGGGCGTCCCACAGCAAGGGTCCTCCAGCAACGCTTACGACTCTCTCCTCAGTTATTCTGGTTCTGTTCTGGGCCTCTCCAGTTACATGCTGGGATGTAAACAGTGCCCTGATCTCTCTTTTTGGTCTCTGCAGAGCTTTGCACAGCAAGGAAACAAGTCCCCAGAAAAAGACAAGCCCTGGGTCCTGTTTCTAAGCAACCACCAGCTTTCCCTTTAACCTGGATTCCCCTACAAGGGGAGCTTGAGCGGGCATTCCCCCAGGGACAGTTTCCCCTTGCTTTTTTAAGGATGCAGCAATGTGAAATCATCCACCTTCCTATTCAGGTTTAAAGATACAAATAATCTGGTCTGCAAACGGAAGATTGTTTAAGTGGCAACTGTAAGACTACTTCCTTGAAGCCAGAATAAGCCAGTGGCTGGCCAGCATTTCCTCCAGCTGGCCAAACAGAGCAATGCCAAAATGGGTGCCCCTCTCCCCAGCTTCACACCCAGTTTGCAGCAGAAAAGCAACAACAAGCGTTTTAAAAAAGCAGGTCACTATTTGCAAAGCTGCTCCAAAGCCCAAGGCCAGGACAGTGGAGCACAATGGCACCTTAGCAGCTTTGGGGAGGGAGGGGGTGAGGGGGGGGAGAAAGCCAAAGAGCCAGAAGGGGGGGGACTGGCAGGGGTTCAAAGGAGCTCCAACGCTGCAAAAATGAAATTTTGCTATTGGAGCTGCAGTGCAGCTGAGCTGAGGAGAATCAATTCAGCTGCTTCCCATCCATGACGGTATGGGGTTGTGGGGGTGTGGCGCCACGCTGGGAGCAGTGCCAATGCTCAGTGTGAAACTAGAACAACCCATCCAAACAATTAGGAACAGGACTACTAATTTAGTGCAAATTCTTGTGCATTTGATCACAGCTTGACTTGCAAAAATCAGGAAGTGAGGGAGATTAAAATAGGGAGAAATGTATTTGGTAGATTTATCGGTGATTAAACAGCCTAATGGCTTTCAAAGAGGCTGGTTTGTGGCTGATAAGTTTAATTTCGGATCCCTGGGACTATCTGTTTTTTTTTCCTACCAATTTATCAGA